TGAATTCGCAGAACTAAGGCTAAATATTCACAAACACTAATCTCAGGTCGACGGAGACTCGAACCTAAGAGCTTTAGAACAAGGCACGCAGTGCTCTACCACTCTACCACACTGGTGAATACCTTGGAAAAAAAATCTCTCGTAGGTCGATGCATGCAGGGGAAGAGATGAAAAGCTTAACACCACCTGCCTGAAGGCTGGCTGCCTTGAACCAAAACGTCTAGCGTTAGCTGGGCACTAAGGTAATGGACAAGTGTGGTAGAGCACTGCGTACCTTGTTCCAAGGATCGTAGGTTCGAGTCTCCGTGTCCATATAGTGAAAATCATTGTCTTAAATTAACTTTAGTCACAGTAGGTTAGTAAGCAATTGATTTTGTAATAAAGAATCCTAAATGATAATTTGTCAGCAGTGTTACTGATTCTCTATGTAATATACTTGTATATGTAGTTAGTACCAGTTATGTTATGCATAGCTTCCCTGTCTAGCTAGGCTTCGTGGCTAGCTGTGAGCACTAGGCCGCAGGCCTACCTCTCAGATCTCGACTAGGCACAGACTCGACAGGCAGGCCTGGGCTTTTTCCCTCAAAATTCTCACATTATACCAAACTGTCCAAGTGTGCATCCCTTTTCATCCGATATCTCTTCAAATACCCACCCGATAAATGGTGCTTGAGGAGATATTGCATGAAAAGGAATACACACTTAGACGGTTTGCAAATTTATAATGTGACAGTCTTGCGGGGAAAAGCCCTGGCCTGCCTGTCGAGTCTATGCCTAGTAGAGATCTGAGTGGCCTGCGGCCTAGTGCTCACATGCTCAGGCTGTGTGACGTCACAGCTAGCCACGGAGTCTAGCTAGACAAGAAAGCTATGTAACATAGCTGACACTAGCTACATGTACTACACAAATATATTGCATAGAGAATCAGTAACATTACTGAAAAATTATTATACCTAGCATCAGGTCATTGTCATACTGTAATTAATTCAATAGCCTCTTGTTTAGATCCATCAGTTTTTTAATACTGTGATTTTTTCTAATTAACAGTAAAGAGATAACTATTTCATAACCAGCAAATGACACAATACTAAAACACTAACATTTTTTTATGACTTGCACAAAATGAGACGCTTGATTTGTGTAAATATTTTACCAGAATATAAATGTCAGAGGCAACAAGATCAATATATTTACGTTTCAACAGATGTCATATCCGTTCGTGTATGAGATGCCCTACATCACTGTTGCCACCCCCGGGATGGACCCCTCGCAGAGTGCCGTTATGGGCAACGTTCTCATCCCGGTCTATACATCTTCCTTACTGGGTGATAACGTTCCAAAGCGGAATGTTTACCATCGCCTTATCATGACACTGGCCCACATGCAGTATCCCTTCTTATATTTCTACTGGATGTATATGCCAACTCTTCAAAAAAAGGTAATATAAAAAAAAAAGTCTCCCACACAGACTGATTAGAAGATAATAAACATACTATATACTTCAGCCTTCTACTTTATCAGACTGAAATATGCATGTCGAAATGTATAATACTCCTCTTGTCCAGCTTATGAATTCTTCCTGGTTGACGTGTTTCTTAATGCTCATTCTATTTTGAAAAGATAATATTTAATTTTAAAATCATAAACATTCACAGTAAAATATATCAAAGCATTTGATTAAATGGGGAAACTCGGAATATTCTCTTGAAATCTTGTAGGTATTGTTTACACTATCTTGATGACATGTTGTTTATTCTACACATATTTAAAACTGCCAGTTAACTCTCTCTCTCAATTATATACCATCAGGGTAACAAGGACAGAAGGTGAATGGGAAACCTTCCGAGTTGTCTAACTCAGGATGCATTGGGTATCTATTTACTACTAGGTAAACAGGAGCAACAGATAGAGAGAAATTAGTACTGCCAAGAATAATGCAGTCAGTGGTCAGTCGTCACGTGAGGTCACAGACCCTGAGCTGCTTTGGGGATTAGTGTGGACGGTTACAAAGCATGGCTTGCTTTTACAGTGTTTTAAAAATTGACGTTGGAGTGTTCAAGGAGGAAGTCTTGCTTCTCCAGGAGGAAATTAGGAGGCTGAAGGTTCACCTATATGAATTTGGGAGTGAGTGTGAGGTTGCTGGAATGGTGGAGAGAAATGAGGCTACCAGCAGTGAGGTGCAGTCCAGCACCTGCTACAAGTGGCAAGTGGTTCCCAGTAATGGGAAGAGCATCAAAATAAGGAAAGTTAAGAGAGAAGATCTGAAGGTAGGAAATCGCTTCTCTGTTCTTCAGGATGAGTGTACTTCAGTGGTCAGTGAAGATAAAGGTACTACTTCCCCTACTAATAGAGGTAAGCACATACTTGTGGTTGGTGATTTACAGGTAAGATATATGGACCGTGCTTCCTGTAATAGGAATAAGAAGGTAAGAGATAGAGTGTGCTTCCCTGGAGCTGATGTTAGTGACATAGTCAACAGGTTGAATAATATCATGTCAGGTAATGGGAACAAGCCTATTATCTGTCTCAGTGCTGGTGGAAATGATATTGGGAAGGGTAGGAGAGAAGAGCTGCTAGATAAGTACAGGTTAGCTATAGATTTAATTAAGTCTAAGGGAGGGGTCCCAATCATATGTAGCATCTTGCCTAGAAGGAGAATGGGCAATGAATGGTTGTCTAGGGCAATTGGTGTAAACTGCTGGCTAGACAGATACTGCAAGGAACTTGCAATCCCATTCATTGACAACTGGGACAACTTTTATGGCAAACATGATATGTATACAAGGGATGGGGTACATCTCTCTGGGGCTGGGGTGGTAGCACTTGCAAACTAAGTCGATAGGGCCATTGTTGAAATGCCTAGGATTTTAAACTGATAGAAGATAGAGGAATGGTTGTGTGTGTGGGGAAACAAGCAGGTTGTAACTCTAGGGTTGAAACAGTAAATGTATAAAAGACATTCATCATGAAGTTATAAATAAAGACAATAGATCAGGTCAGCAAACAAAGGGAGACAGCAGAGGACAGCAAGGGACTAGCTCCCTTAAGGTCTACTATAGAATAGCAGGAGTGTAAAAAATAAGATAGATGAGCTAAGATTAATTGCAAGTGCAGGAAACATAGATATCATTGCTGTAACAGAGACCTGGCTCATTCTGAAAGATGGAGAGATGCCCTCTGAATATCACATAAAAGGCTATAAATTATTCCACACTGACAGGGTCAAGAGGAAGGGTCGTGAGTAGCGATGTATGTCAGAGACAGTTTAATTTGTTGTGTTAGACAAGATATAAAATTAGAAGCGTCATTCACTGAATCTATTTGGTTACAGCTTCTCGAGGGCCATGAAAAACTAATTTTGGGTGTGATTTACAGGGCCCCAAATCCTAATAGGGAATGCAGTAAACTTCTATGGGATGAAATTCATAAGGCATCTACATACGAAAATGCTGTGATAATGGGAGATTTCAACTATAGACAGATTGACTGGAGCAATTTGACAGGAAATTTAGAGCCAAGTGACTTGATACGATTCAGGATTGTTTTTTTAAAACTGTGACAGAACCAACTAGAGGAAATAACCTGCTTTACTTGGTTCTTGCCAACAGGGAAACGCTAATTAATAATATTGAGGTTAATGATGAGCTTAGGGAAAGTTATCATAAATCACTCAGTTTTAATATATCATGGAATTTCCCTAAAATGGTAATCAAGTCTCAGTCCCTGACTTCTGCTTAGCTGATTTCATAGGACTGAAAAATTACTTGGGTGGGCTGAACTGGAATGACCTGACTATGGGTCAGGTAGGTGGTGATGATTGCCGATATGACGTTTTCCAGGGCATAGATCTAGCTGCTCAGACAACTTATGTTCCAAATAGGGAAATCAGATCAAACAAAAATGATCCTAAGTGGATGAACAATAGATTAAAACATCTCATTGGTCAAAAGAGAGGCATATATAGGCAAATAAAAAAAAAGAGAGGGGCAATTAAGAAATCTATATATTCAGATAAGGAGATAAGTAAAAAAGGGAATAAGAAAAGCAAAGAGATTATGAGGTTAACGTTGCAAGAGAATCGAAGACTAACCCAAAAGGATTCTTTCAGGTATACAGAAGTAAGATCAGGGACAAGATAGACCCACTCAAAAGTTACTCGGGTCAACTCACGAACAGTGATAAGGAAATGTGTAGAATTTTTAACACACACATCCTCTCAGTTTTTACACAGGAAGATACTAGCGATATTCCAGAAACAATAAATTATGTAGAACAGGATGATAATAAACTATGCACGATTAGGGTCATAAGTGAAATGGTCCTTAGGCAAAGAGATGAATTAAAACATAACAAATCGCCAGGCCCTGATGAACTGCACGCAAGGGTTCTAAAGGAATGTAAAGAGGAGCTTAGCAAACCTTTGGCTAATCTTTTCAACATGTCACTACAGAATGGCATGGTACCAGATAAGTGGAAAATGGCAAATGTTATACCTATTTTCAAAGTAGGTGACAGGTCTTTAGCTTCGAACTTAAGACCAATAAGCCTAACCTCCATAGTGGGAAAATTTATGGAATCAATAACTGTCGAGGCAGTTTGTAGCCACCTTGAAAAGCATAAATTAAAAAACGAATCTCAGCATGGTTTTACAAAGGGGCGTTCCTGCATTACGAATTTATTAACATTTTTGAGGAGGTAGATCATGGTAATGAATATGATATTGTGTATATGGACTTCAGTAAGGCTTTTGACAGGGTCCCACATCAGAGACTATTGAGGAAAATTAAGGCACATGGAATAGGAAGAGAAATGTTTTCCTGGATAGAGGCATGGTTGACAAATAGGCAGCAGAGAGTTTGCATAAATGGGGAGAAATTAGAGTGGGGAAGCGTCATGAGCAGTGTTCCACAGGGGTCAGTGTTGGGCCCCCTGTTGTTCACAATCTACATAAACGAGATTGATGAGGGCATAAAGAGCGACATCAGCAAGTTTGCCGATAACACCAAAATAGGCCGTCGAATTCCTTCTGACGAGGACATTAGAGTACCCCAGGAAGATTTGAATAGACTGATGCAGTGGTCGGAGAAGTGGCAGATGCAGTTTAATATAAACAAATGCAAAGTTCTAAATGTTGGACAGGAAAATAGCCATGCCACATATAAACTAAATAATGTAGATCTTAATATTACGGATTGCGAAAAAGATTTAGGAGTTCTGGTTAGCAGTAATCTGAAACCAAGATAACAGTGCATAGGTGTTTCCAATAAAGCTAACAGAATCCTTGGCTTCATATCAAGAAGCATAAATAATAGGAGTCCTCAGGTTGTTCTTCAATTCTATATATCCTTAGTTAGGCTTCATATTGATTATGCTGCACAGTTTTGGTCACCGTATTACAGAATGGATATAAATGTTCGAGGTAGATATTGAAAAGTCAGTGACATTGGGTGATAAGGACAGTAATAGGTTTAGTTGAAAAACAGAAATGAGCAGGAAGGGTAAAGAGAAAGGAGAGTCTTTCAATGTTTATTATGCTAATAGCCGTAGTGCTAGGAATAAGATGGACGAGTTGAGATTAGTTGCTAGTGCAGGTAACATTGATGTATTTGCCTTAACTGAGACGTGGTTTAATTCAAAAAGTCGGGACATGCCTGCGGAATGTCACATTCAGGGTTTTAAATTGTTCCAAGTAGATAGAAGTTTCGGGAAGGGGGGTGGGGTGGCATTGTATGTCCGAGATCGCTTGAACTGTTGCATAAAAACGGGTATTAAGTCTGAAGTAACACATACAGAGTCTGTTTGGATAGAATTTTCAGAGGGGCATGAAAAACTGATTTTAGGAGTGATGTACCGTCCCCCAAACTTAGATAGGGACCAAGGGAGACTACTATGGTAGGAAATTGTTAAGGTCACAAGGCACGATAATGTAGAATGTCGTAATTCTAGGAGACTTTAACTTTAGTCATATTGATTGGAATTTCTTGACTGGGAATTTAGAATCATACGACTTCTTAAAGTAGTTCAGGATTGTTTTCCGAAGCAGTTTGTGACAGAACCTACAAGGGGAAATAACCTGCTTGACTTAGTTCTGGCAAACAATGAATCCCTTGTTAATAATTTAGAAATTTCAGAGGAACTGGGTGCTAGCGACCACAAATCAATTACATTTAGCATTGAATGGAAGTACGATAGTAGCGATAACTCAGTAACAGTCCCAGATTTTCGCTTAGCAGATTACGATGGGCTTAGAGAACACTTATCTGTTGACTGGGGTAACGAAGAGAGCTATCAATATGACAGTTTTCTGAACACTATACATGAGGCTCAAAGAACGTTTATCCCATATAAAGAAATTAGATCAAATAGAAATGACCCAAAATGGATGAATAATAGGCTCAAATTCTACTAAGGCATAAGAAAGGAATTTATAGGCGTATCAAAAGAGGTGAGGGTCATCTTATTAAGAGGGACATTAAAAAGGGGATAAGAAAAGCTAAAAGGGACTATGAAATTAAAGTTGCTAGGGATTCTAAAACTAACCCAAAAAGTTTTTTCCAGGTATATAGAACAAAAGTTAGAGATAAGATAGATCCCATTAAAAATAACTATAGGCATCTTACTGACAAAGAGAATGAAATGTGCTCGATTTTAAATAGTTATTTTCTCTCGGTTTTTACACAGGAAGACACTAACAATATTCCAGTAATTAATTTTTATAGTGGACTAGAAGATGATAAATTATGTAACATCACAGTCACTAGTGAAATGGTTGTGAAGCAGATAGACAGACTGAAGCAAAATAAGTCACCGGGTCCTGATGAGGTTTTTTCAAGGGTTCTTAAGGAATGCAAAATGGAACTCTGTGAACCATTAACTAATATTTTTAATTTATCTCTTCAAACAGGTGTAGTGTCTGATATGTGGAAGATGGCTAATGTAATTCCTATTTTTAAAACAGGGGACAAGTCGTTACCGTCAAATTACCGCCCAATAAGCCTGACCTCAATTGTAGTCAAATTACTAGTCTATTATAGCTGAGATTATAAGAAGCCATCTCGATAAGCATAGCTTGATTAATGATACTCAGCATGGATTCACAAGAGGCCGGTCTTGTCAAACTAATTCATTAACTTTCTTCAGTAAAGCTTTTTGAGACTGTTGACCACGATGAAGAATTTGATATTATTTACTTAGATTTTAGTAAGGCTTTTGATAGAGTTCCGCACCATAGACTGTTAAAGAAAGTGGCAGCTCATGGCATTGGGGGAAAAGTGCTTTCGTGGATCGAGTCATGGCTCACTGACAGGAAGCAGAGAGTGTCCATAAATGGGGTTAAATCCGAGTGGGGATCTGTAACAAGTGGCGTTCCACAGGGATCAGTCTTGGCCCCGTTGTTGTTTATAATATATATCAATGATCTTGATGAGGGAATTACTAGTGATATGAGCAAATTCGCCGATGACACGAAGATAGGTAGGATAATTGATTCAAACGTAGATGTTATGGAACTTCAGGAGGATTTAAACAAACTCTATTCTTGGTCAGAAAAGTGGCAGATGCAGTTCAATGTAGATAAATGCAAGGTTCTGAAGCTTGGGAGTGCTCATAACCCTAGTACTTATAAGTTAAATGATGTAGAACTTAGCCATACAAATTGCGAAAAGGACTTGGGGGTTATGGTGAGCAGCAACCTTAAACCAAGACAGCAATGCCTAAGCGTACGTAATAAGGCAAATAGATTACTGGGATTTATGGCAATATAAACACAAATGCAGTATAATGTGATCCTTTATTGACTACGTTTCGCCCACACAGTGGGCTTTTTCAAGTCACAAACAGTTCTGTTTGTGACTTGAAAAAGCCCACTGTGTGGGCGAAACGTAGTCAATAAAGGATCACATTATACTGCATTTGTGTTTATATTGCCATTGTGTCGGTATTTTATACCATTTATTTCCACTGGGATTTATATCAAGAAGTGTAAGCCACAGAAGTCCAGAGGTCATACTGCAGCTTTATACATCATTAGTAAGGCCTCACCTAGATTATGCAGCTCAGTTCTGGTCTCCATATTACAGAATGGACATAAATTCATTAGAAAACATTCAGCGTAGGATGACTAAATTAATACATAGCAAATTTGAAATCTTCCTTATGAATAAAGATTGAAGACTCTTAAGTTACATTCACTTGTTAGACGAAGAATGAGGGGAGACCTGATCGAAGTGTATAAGTGGAAGATAGGTATTAATAAAGGGGATATTAACAAGGTCTTGAGGATATCTCTCCAAGAGAGAACCCGCAGTAATGGATTTAAATTAGATAAGTTTAGATTTAGAAAGGACATAGGAAAGTATTGGTTTGGAAATAGGGTAGTTGATGAGTGGAACAGTCTACCTAGTTGGGTAGGACTTGGCTGGGACTTTGGGTAGTTTCAAATATAGGTTGGATAAGTACATGAGTGGGAGGGGTTGGATTTGAGTGGGACTTTCACATCAGAGCTTTTTTCTTGGGTGGCATTGAAAATTGGGTTGATCAAATGTTTTGTTAGTGGGATGAATTGTAAAGGACCTGCCTAGTATGGGCCAACAGGCCTCCTGCAGTGTTCCTCCTTTCTTATGTTCTTAGATAAATACATGAGTGGGTGTGGGTGGATGTGAGTTGGACCTGATTAGCTTGTACTACTAGGTCAGTTGCCGTGTTCCTTGGGTGAATGTGGCCTGACCTGACTAGGTTGTAGTACTAGGTCAGTTGCCGTGTTCCTTGGGTGAATGTGGCCTGACCTGACTAGGTTGGGGCATTGGCTTAAGCCTGTAGGAGACTTGGACCTGCCTCGCATGGGCCAGTAGGTCTGCTGCAGTGTTCCTTCTTTCTTATGTTCTTATGAGTGGGTGTGGATGCGTGTAAGTTGGACCTGATTAGCGTGTGCTACTAGGTCAGTTGCCGTGTTCCTTCCTTAAGTGAATGCGACCTGACCTGACTAGGTTGGGCCATTGGCTTAAGCCAGTAGGAGATTTGCACCTGCCTCGCATGGGCCAGTAGACCTGCTGCAGTGTTCCTTCTTTCTTATGTTCTTAAAAGAGATATAGGTGCAGAAAGTTTCCCTTTGCGTAAAACTTTTCTAATTAACTGTCTTGATCAAAGCCGTCATATAGAGACACGTTTCCACAATGAATAATTGTACTTCACATTTTTTTGTTGTTCAGGAGGACCGGGTGTAAAGGGACTTGCCCGTACATCTCATCCTGTCTAGAATGCAGTCCACAACAGATAAAAAAAACACAAGTGTCTGATGAAAGACACTGATAAGATAAGGCCCTTGACTGGAAGACCATTTCACTTTAGAGTGGGCATTTTCAACTACACCTACATGAAAAAAGTCTACACTAGGGACAAAGGCTGAACAAATTAAGGACATCATTACTACTATTGTCTTTTTCACCACCTCTCAAGAGTGTCATGTAGGGGAGTAATGAAATGTATTATTGGGGAATATGGGAGTACTCGGTGGGAGTAGGCAGGAGAGGTGGGAGACTGGCATGAGAGGTGAGTCGAGTGATTAGCGGCGGAGGTAATGTGAGGTCACTGCAACTAGACCATCACCTCTCATTACCTCTACCACCACACTTATCACCCTCTCACTACTTTAAATAAATTAATGAATAAAAGAATAAATAACGGGGGACAGTGAATATTACTATTCTACTCAAACACAGTTTATTATTAAGTCCTTGTACAATAATATATTTGGGAACTGGAGAACATTGTTGCATTTAGATAAATGGGGTGGTACACATAAGCAGTGAGACAGCAAATACAATCAACTGACGAAACAGAATATAACTTACGATATAGTTCAGAGGACAGTTCACCACAGGAACTAAATCACACACTAGCCGCAGGTCCCAAGACCTACACAGCATGAGTACTGCTCCAAGCCAGTACTCTGCCCAATGTCTCCAACAGTGTCTCCTCCAGAGACTCTCCTGCTCAGCTCTGCACACCACCAGCAGCTCTGCTCGAGTTCCCTTGCTAAGAGCTCTGCACACAGACCAAAGCTCCACTCGACTCCTTGATCATGCTGTTCCTTGGGCTTATATGGTCCTCAAAGCAGCCCCCACAATGGGATGTGCACCACGTGTTTTGACCAGACGCCGAGATCTGACGCCGTCAAGAACAAAAGACCTCAAACTTAAGCCAAAAGGTGTGTCTGACAGCTATTTGCCAAGGCAAGGTGTGACCATTTAATTAGGTTAAATTAGGTGTCCCTTAGCGGCCTCAAAAGAACAGTTGAAATACATCACAAGAGTCTTCCTTGAGGTTCCTATTTACCGCTGGAGAAACATGAGCAACAGGTGTAAAGAGACGTAACTGTACGTCTCAGCCTGCCTGGTGAAGTAACCTGGGAGTCTTGGAGTTTTAGAAGAGCATTCTACCATACAGTAAACAGTCACCTCAATCAACCAATTGTTTTATTATTATTATTATTATTATTATTATTATTATTATTATTATTATTATTATTATAAGAGTAGGTACCATGTAAACTACATGCTGGGTCCACAATAACAAGAAGTGCCACGATAAACCAGACAGTTCTCTAACAACAAACCATGTACTGGATTTATAATAAGAGGAAATGTTATTGTAAATCGCATGAGTCTGCATAATCACTGAAAATAAAATGATAAAATAATTACTTTCTAATA